AGTGATCGCACACAATGCATCTAAATGTGTGTGTGTGAAGCTAATTAACCCACATGAAACACACACACAAAGGCATGCGGTTCCTGTAGGACAGATGTACAAGCCTGTTGCTCGGCAACAGATGCTCGGTCTACATCGACAACTTCTGTCAGCCTCTTCAAGCACCTGTCAATCAAACGCACATTCCAGAGTCTCCGAGTGAAAGAAAGAGTCCTGGGATCAGTTCAGTGTGTGTGTGCGTGTTTGTGTGTGTGTGTGTGTGCGTGCGTGACTCCACTGAAATACTGAACAACCAACAATCTGACGTTAATGAGGCTTTCATTTTATTGCGTTAGGGTAAAGTAAAATAAAAAACAAAGCAAAAAAAAAAAAAAAAACAATAGCTATGTCTTGACTTTGAACAAAAACAAAAACAATTTAATTAATTATTAAGTTAAGAAATTTGTTTGGTTGTTAGCAGAGGTGATTTTAGGATTTTCATATCAGGGGGGCTAAGCTACTTTAAATTTTTTTCTTCTTTTTTAAAATATTTTCCAAATGATGTTTAACAGAGCAGGGAAATTTTCACAGTATGTCTGATAATATTTTTTCTTCTGGAGAAAGTTTTATTTATTTTATTTCGGCTAGAATAAAAGCAGCTTTTAATTTTTTAAACACCATTTTGGGGACAAAATTATTAGCCTCTTTAGGCTATATATTGTTTGATAGCCTACAGAACAAACCATTGTTATACAATAACTCGCCTAATTACCCTAACCTGCCTAGTTAACCTAATTAACCCAGTTAAGCCTTTAAATGTCACTTTAAGCTGTATAGAAGTGTCTTGAAGAATATCTAGTAAATATTATTTACTGTCATCATGGCAAAGATAAAATAAATCAGTTATTAGAGATGAGTTATTAAAACTATCATGTTCAGAAATGTGTTGACATTAGGTGTTCATGATTTATTATAGCAATTTATCGATAAACACACACCTCGTCCTCTCGCTGTCCACCGTTGTGGTTTGCTGACCATATAAAAAACAAAAGATGGGGAGAAGCTGAATTCTGCCTCCGTTTTCATATCAAATTTAAAGGAGACTGAGGCGATAATTTAGTGTACAGTTTATGAGCTAATCGCAAAGGTTTTAGGGGGGCTGAGTAGAAATATAGGCCTAGCAATGCCCATGGTTGTTAAAAATATTATTATTTTATTTTATCTTATTTTATTTATTAAAAAAATTATTGCAGCGAAAATTGCAAGTACGTAAGATTTATTTTGAAATAATACACAGGTTTTTATTTTTGCTATATCGAAATATAAATTAAAAGATTATACAAAAAATAATTTAGTTTGTTTGTTGATAATAGTATTATTTTATTTGATCTTATCCTAATTAATTATATTTTTGCATTGTATAAAAAATATTGGCAGAAAAAAATTATTATTACGTAAGATTCATTTTAAAATAATGCAGTTAGATTTCATTCTGCTGAATCAAAATATAAATAATAAGTAAAACATTCAATTTTATCCTATTTTATTTAGTTTTTAATAGTATTTGTATTATACATATATGAAACTAATAGCAGAGAAAATTGTAATTATGTAACATTTATTTTGAAATAATGCACTGTTTTTAATTCTGCTGTATCAAAATAAATAATATCAAAATAAATAATTCAGTTTGGTTGCTAATAATAATAATATTTTATCTAATTTTATTTCATTTATTATAGTATTTGTATTATCTATAAAAAATATCGTCAGAGAGAATTGTAATTTGAATTGTAATTGTAAGACTTGTTTTGAAGTAATCCACTGATTTCATTCTGCTGTATTAAAATACAAATACAAAATATTACTAAAAGAAAGTCAGTTTGGTTGTTAATAATATTATTATTTTACTTTATTTTATTTCATATTGTTTATTATAGTATTTGTATTATTTATTTAAAAAATGATGGCAGAGAAAAATGTAATTACGTAACATTTATATTGAAATAATGCACTGAATTAATTCTGCTTTATCATAATATGAATAAAAAATAATACTTTATTTTATCCTAATTTATTATAGCATTATATACACTATTGGCAAAGGAAATTGTAATTATGTAAGACTTTATTTTAAAATAATGCAATAATTTTTTTTATTATATTATTTTTCTTTCCCAGTAATAGATTGCAACTGAAAGGAAATCTGCTGTGTGAAACATGCGGAATAAGTTGGCGGTTCATTCCACTGTGGCAACCCCTGATAAATAAAGGGACTAAGCCAAAGGAAAATGAATGAATAAATATTATATTTCCTTCTGCTGTATCAAAATATGAATAAAAAATACAAAAATAATTTAGTTTGGTTGTTAATGATATTATTGTTACTTTATTTTATTTCATATAGTTTATTATAGGATTTGTATTATATACAAAAAAAACTAAAATAAAAATACAACTTTTTGTCATTTTATTATTAACAAAATGCTCTAAATAACATTTTTACATTTGAAATAAATGACTTCAGAAGTTTACAGAATAAAACAAACATGCCTTTTTTTTACTCAAATAAATGAATAAATATAAATAGTAAATCCAGAGAAACTGGGAATCATCAAGTGGTGTCTTTATTATTTTCCCCCATAGCTGTACATACAAATCCTAGCTTTTGTGACACTCTACCTTCGAAAAAGCTGCTTTGAATCAGTTTGTATCATGTAAAGCACTATACAAATAAACCCGACTGCAGTGAAAGTTCAATTGTGGTGCTCCAAAAAAAAAAACTTGTTTATTTTTCGTTCAAAGCAAAGCTGAGCACATTTGAGTGAATTAAGCAGAGAAATGCAAACAAAATCCTATTAGAAACAAACAGAATGTCCTCACACACACACACACACACACACACACACACACACACACACACAGATCTACTTTCACACACAGCTGTTTCTGATCAATATATGTCTGCAGATCCTTCATTTCTGCACTAAACAAACACACAACCAGCAACAACTACACACAAACACTGCTTTGATAACACTATACCCCCCACATTATAAATCCTACAGTAATTTAAAGTAAATATTAGTGTTTTTGAACCATACTATAGTAGAGTGTAAAACACTACCTGACAGAAGTCTTGTCACCTATCCAAGTTTTAGGGACAGCAAATAATAACTTGACTTGTAGTTGATCATTTGGTGTCAGAAGTGGCTTATATGAAAGGCAAAGGCCTCTAGATTACACTTATTTTACCACAATAAAATATGATCATGCCTTGATTTGTAATGATTTAATTAGGACAGTAAGGTCTGACTTTTTTTGGACAAAAGTCTTGTGATGAACAGAAATAATGTCCAGTATAGAATCTAAAGTCATGCTGCAGTGGAAACAGAATGAATATTGTGTCTGACTCCATCATGAGCTTGGAGGACTGCATCCATACATCTCTGCAATGACTCAAATCACGTATTAATAAAGTCATCTGGAATGACAAAGAAAGCGTTCTTGCAGGACTCCCAGAGTTCATCAACATTCTCTGGATTAATCTTCAATGCCTTCTCTTCTATCTTACACCAGACATGCTCAATAAAGTTCATATCTGGTGAGTGGGCTGGCCAATCCTGGTAGGCCACCATAACTTTCTTTGCTTTCAGGAGCTTTGATGTGGAGGCTGAAGTATAAGGAGCGCTATCCTGCTGAAGAATTTGCCCTCTCCTGTGGTTTGTAATGTAATGGGCAGCACAAATGTCTTGATACCTCAGGCTGTTGATGTTGCCATCCACTCTGCAGATCACTTGCATGTCCTCATACTGAATGTAACCCCAAACCATGACTTTTCTTCACCAAACTTGACTGATTTCTGTGAGAATCTTGGGTCCATGAGGTTTCCAGTAGGTCTTCAGCAGTATTTGTGATGATTGGGATGCAGTTCAACAGACGATTCATCTGAAAAATCTACCTTCTGACAACCAGAAGTCATTATTTGTTGCTCTTCTAACTGGGATCGACAACAAGACCTATGTTAGGCATGTTTAAAGCGTATTATATTGTATGTATTATAGTATTTACAACACTTTAAATAAGTTAAACACTTTGTTAATGACTGCTAAAGCATACTGTAATATTACCTATAGTGAACTGATCATAAATACTGTAGCCTAGTAGTGTTTATCACAGTAAAATGTGGTGTATTGTTGTATTATATAGCATGCATGTCCACACTCGGTCCTGGAGGGACGGTGTCCTGCAAAGTTTAGTTCCAACCCCAATCAGAAACACCTGGGCTAGCTAATCAAGCTCTCACTAAGCTTTCTAGAAACATCTTTGCAGGTGTGTTGAAGCAAGTTGGAGCTAAAAAACAGCCCTCCAGGATCAAGTTTGGACACCCCTGCCCTATAGTTTTAATTAAACTACAGCATTGGGTCATTTGTTTAAATTACTATTATATTATTACTATATCAACAATAAAATTACCACAACAGATTAATTCCAGAACTTTACTATAGTGAATAGTACTGTAGTTCAAAAACACGTCAATGTTTATTATGAATTACTAGTGTTTAAAAGCTAGTCAGACTAAATCTGAACAACAATCTGAGGTCGTGAAAGGAGTTTTCATACAGGCTGAAGAATATTCATATATTGACTGTACATTAAGATGTCATGTAACAGTGTAGCTAACACCAGGAGGGCGCGCGCACACGTGCACTTTCCCTTTGATCTCGTCGCTCACGGAAGTTCCCGCGAAACAGAAAATTCAATCCCTCACACATTTACACGCGTATAAAATAAAACAAAACATACCATATAAACGCGAGTGTGACATTTAACAACTCAAAACTGCAGAAAACACCAAAAGCAGTACATAAGTACTTGCATAAAATACAAAACTGATAGTTTTATGACCAAACGCGCAAGAAACCGTTGCCGTTTTAACGGGATAGCGCATAAACAGTGTGATAAAGTATGAATGCGCCAACTCCAACAGGTGATGATGATGGTCAGTAGCCTAACGTTACCTGAGAAGTCCTGCGAAGTCCTGGTGAAGCCGGTCAGACACGAGATTCCCAACAACAGCAGTGAATATGAGACATCAGGGAAAAACATCCTTAAATGTCCCATCAGATCTGCGGATTCCCGAGAGGATCAGAGCGCAGGACACGAGCTGATGTCCGACTCCATGATGACTGAGACTGAAGACTCCACTGAGACACTGGAGAGAGAGAGAGAGAGAGAGAGAGAGAGAGAGAGAGAGAGAGAGAGAGAGATTCCCCCTGGTCCCAAAGTCCCAGAATTTCACACACTTAAAAACAAAAGAAAAAAAAAAAAAAAAAGGGGGGGGGGGGTGTTGGGGGGCGAGGTACATATATATTTTTTTTATAAACTCAGATAACCAGTGTTGAGTGTAATTAGTTACAAACTTAATGACTTTTCACCAAATCTAATATAAGACTTTAATCATTACTCATTCATTCATTTTTTTTTCGGCTTAGTCCCTTTATTAATCTGGGGTCGACACAGGGGCATGAACCACCAACTTATCCACAGCGGATGCCCTTCCAGCTGCAACCCATCTCTGGGAAATTTAATCATTATAATATTGGAATGTGAAGAGACTTTCAACCAGCACAACAGAACATGTTTCTGAAGACAATCGCCTACTGCACCTTTAAATATCGTATCTAATTACGTTATCAATACTTTATAGCAGGGGTCACCAATCTCGATCCTGTAGGGCCGGTGTCCCTGCAGGGTTTATCTCCAACCTACCTCAACAACACACCTGCCTGGTTGTTTCAAGAATGCCTGTTAAGACTGTGATTGGCTTGTTCAGGTGTGTTTGATTAGGGTTGGAGCTAAAATCTGCACGACACCGGCCCTCCAGGAACAGGTTTGATGACCCCTGCTGTATAGAAATGACTTTATTATTACGATTACGAGTTACTATGAAATACAATTTAAAATCCCTACTATTTATACATTTAAATGCATATTATTCATTCATTCTTTCATTTTCCTTCGGCTTATAGTCCCTTATTCATTAGGGGTCACCTCAGCGGAATGAACCACCAACTATTCCAGTATGTTTTACACAGCAGATGCCCTTTCAGCCGCAACCCAGTATTGGGAAACACCCATAAACACTTATTCACACACACTCACTTCAGCCAATTTAGTTTACCCAGTTCACCTATAGCGCATGTCTGTGGATTGTGGGGGAAACCGGAGCACCCAGAGGAAACCCACGCCAACACGGGGAGAACATGCAAACTCCACACAGAAATGCAAACTGGCCCAGCTAGGACTTGAACCAGCGAGCTTCTTGCTGAGGCGACAATTAAGTCACTTTACTCGATACCAGAGACGCTGCTATATAAAGCTCTACTGGGGTACCTCCTCAAAAAAAACAAAAAACAAAAAAATTATATATATATATATATATATATATATATATATGCACACACACATACAGTATGCACATAAATATTTATTATAAATAAATAAAAAGTATTATTGTTATACAATTATTATTATTATAAATAATCCTAAATTTAACTGGAAAATAATTTAATTTAAGAAATCTTTTGTTTGAATATTGATTTAATTTGAATGAAATTCTACAGACAATTCTATAGAATTCAGATGTTTTGCAGAATGATCTGTTGTCTCTTCACATGGCAGAGAATGAGGTTTATTAAGTTTTACCGCCATGACTCGTCTCCTATTTACTTCATACAAAAAAATCTATCAGGAGGCACACTTAAGATCACCATCATATCATTCAAACTTTAGTTTTGTCGACTTGCAAAACTCACTGCGTGCCAACACCTCCTTTTTCTGCACACATACAGAGATGCGTCAGTTTGCTTTTTTATTAAACTACATTGCTTTCACCAGCGTTGGTTCTGTTGCACATGAGAATAACGTCTTTAATCCGGAACAAACACTCTTAATAAATACACTTGCTAATGAAGTAAATCATATACTCATTTACTGGGGCATGTGCTTTTACGAGGGGCACAAACCTGAAAGAAAAATCATCCTGTTTTGAAACAACATGAACGTCATGGCAAATTTTCATTTTTAGGTGCACTGCACCTTAATTTAATAAGGTTAAAATGGAAATATGAAATAATTTTTAATGAACATAACTTTGTGCTTGGCCAAAACTGTAATAAACTGGAACAAAAGTAATTGATTCATGAAACCAAAGACTGTTAAATGCACCCAAAATGATTTCAAAGTCAGGGTAAATGTCAGAATGACTAGCTGAGGAAAGAGCCTGCTTCACAGTAAAATAAAGTTGATTCTATTAAATAATACTGTGACATCACAGTAATGGACTTCACTCTCTACTGTGAAGTTTCACTATATGTCTGTAATTTCACAGTAATTTAATGTAACAAAATTACAGTAAATAACTGTGAAAGTAATGCAGTTATTAGCCAGTAATTTACTCTGAATTTAAGTTCAATTTTTTTTACAGTGTAATTGTCCTATGTTCAACCTACTTTTGTGTGTGTGTGTGTGTGTGTGTGTGTATTATTTACATTTATTATTTATATTATAAGTGTCTAATGAGGTCAACAGAAACTTTTATCAGTTCCCTATTATTATTATCCTCGTAATTGTACGTGCTTGTGCATAGTTTTTGTTCTCTGTTGTGGCTCCAAAATTACTTAACATTTTCATATTTATCAGTTGGTTTCTGACTCAAGAAAATTAAATATGTTTTTAACATTTCGACTTTATGCCTTACATATCCATAATACACTGTTAGCCTGATCCGGATCTTTTTGCTTTCTCACAACAATTGATCCGCTCCAGAGTTTGTTTAAATGGAGCCGAGACCAACTCATTAGAAGATTGTTTTGGCGCAGATGCGATTGCTGGATTCACATATGCCAACAAAAAAACACGCTAACTGGGGTAACGGACCAGGTTCCGAAACAAAAGTCTAGGTGTGAAAGCACCCTTAATCGATTGGGGTGGATCAACAATGAATTGTGTGGAACCCAGCATTTTTAGAGAGCAGGATGCTCCTCTGATTGTTAATTATTTCTATAACAATAAGCTTGTTGAGAGATTTTTTCGCAGTCCTTGCTAACTTAATACTTTTTATTAGCCAACAAAATTGCACATTTATACGTAAGTAACAAGTAGCAGACGTTTTCGATCGATCAAATGTTTAATAATTTCTATTTTGTGTATTATTACAGTCGTTTATTGTTGCGTCACATGAATAATTTATAATAAGTTATTCAGTGATCTTCTGGCACCATTGAAGACATCGTAAGGCTTGATTTACCTGTGTGTCCAAGTTAAGCAGGATGCACATAACTGGAAATTTAGGCTGTTATTAAAATTAACTAAAAAGTTTACTTAGGCTAAATATATATTTTGAAAACACAGTTTAAGTAACAATTCACAGCATTTATTATGGACTAACCCTAACCCTAACCTTAACCCGAACAAGCCTATTAAGAAATTAGCTGTTTATTAGCACTTATTAGCAAGTATGATTTTATTTTACATCCCTAATACCCAACCCCAACTATTACCTTACTAAATATTAATGAACAGCTGATTAGTGGTTTACTGAGCTAAACGTCTTTGTCAATAGCACGAATTAGACATTGAAATAGAGTGACCACATTTTCATTAAATAACATTATAAACATTCAAACACAATGGATTCAATCCTGCTTCCCTAGAATATTCCAAAGAAATGAAATATTTTATGACAATAACAACCTATGTTCAACATCGTTGCTTTATCACTGTTTGATTTCTAACACTTTAGTGCACGTCTGATGAAAATCAATGAACAATACACACAAACATAAGATTTCAATCCCAAGCAGTCTGTGAAGACTTCGAGGCTGTGTCAAATGAATAAAGCTGAATGAATGAATGAGTTTACCTGATAACGCCTCCTCATTTGTGGTTGTTTTTTATTGTAGTATCTCTTGATGTTTCTCAAGAGCTGTAGAGCCCTCTGCTGGTCAACATGAAGAACTGCAGGAACTCTATTTATCGCATTCAACAGTTCAGTTAACATTTTCACTACCCCTTTATGCGCAAAACATCTTTGGCAATGTTTAAAATCTGACATACACTCTCTGAAAGTCATGGTTTGTTGTAACACAACGTTGAGTTAAACAACGACAAACCCAATGTTGGGTTAATTTTTCCAATTCAATTATTTTTTTTACAATTAACGAAAGTAAATATATAAAGTATATAAAGAAGTAAACTATAAACGGAAGAAAAAATAGAAGTATATGAAGATCCTCCTCGTGCACACACTGCTAAAAAATCCTGGTTGCCTTAAATTTTGAAGCTGAATCAAATTAACCTTATGAGTTCATTGAACTTATGTTATGTTGAAACAGCTTGTGTAACTTATAAAATTAAGTTAGGACATGATTCACTTAGTTTAATAAGTTACAGTGAATTAAAAACACATGCTGTTGTATATATTTGGAGACCCGCTTGTATTGGGACCTGGGGTGAAGATGTGTGAATGGATTCAAATTAGTATTATTGGAAAACAAATTATTATGAGGGGATGGCGTTCAGTAGGTCCACCATCATATCAAGTATGGGTTACAGAACTGGGGAAGGTGGCAGTATATAAAAAAATGACATATAGGATACTAGATAAATTGGATGTTTATCAGAGAAGATGGGGAAATTACTTGGCATTTTTGGAGAAGGAATAAGGTCATTGTGGTGAGACGCACATTAAAAATGTAATAATTAATTTATTTATTTTAGTTTATTTATTTTTATTTATTTATGTTTTATTGTATTGTTACTGTTCCTATGGAGTGTAATAATAAGTATTTGTGTTTACGGGTTCTATGATAGCAATATTCAAGCACGGTGGCGGTTGCTAAGTGGTTGCTAGGCAGTTGCTAAAACAATTATGGCATTGTTAGGTGGTTGCTAAGCAGTTGCTTAATGGCAATGCTCGTGTACATGTTTGATCAAATGTTAATACTTAGTAGGCATTTCTAGCACATGTTATTGCATTTAGATAATCATTCATAGCATGTAGCTAATCGTTATGGTGTTTGAAGGGCATTCGCTGTGTAAAACAAATGCTGGATAAGTTGGTGGTTCATTCCGTTGTGGCTGTGTGCTGTATTTTTTTGAAAATACAATGCTTAATAAGTGTGAAAGTGATACATGCAAAAATGCAAAAATGAAAAATAATGCTCAAAAATTACTTATTGGAAAACTATAAGTCTGATCAACCTTAAAGATGTAGCAACAAAATCTACCGCATCTTAATACAGCTTTTGGCAAAATTTGGGGCTCGTATAATTTTTTTTATATGCCCGGATTATAAAAATTTAATATTTAACATTTTTTATTAAAAAAACAACAAGTCTTATAGGCATGAGGAGATATAGCAACAATCTTGAATGTAGAAAGCACATTTTGACCACATTTGGGCCTTGTGGCATGAACGGCCTAGGAGGAGATACGTTTGTTTTCAAGGACAGAGTAGCATAACAGTATGTCGGCTTTCTCAAGCCAACATAATAATGACAGCACTGCCGTAATGTAAACTGATTGTATTGTGAAATTATTGAAGAAAAAGAAAATAAAAATTGAATCGTAAAAAAAACATGTTGTCAGAACTAATTGTTCACATCATTTTTGCAGTGTACAAACGTACGAATATTTCCTTCTATGACTATTGGACATGATTATTTACATAGACATATTGATTCTTGGTCTACTGACACATTTGTTATGTCCTGAGACGTGTCTTTTGAAGTGCACAATGTGCTTTTGTGTTTTTCCCCTCTCTCTCCCTGCAGGTAACTGTGTCCACCAGGGGCCTGTTTCAGTAAGGAGGTTCAAACAACTCGGAGTTTAAACTTGAACTCTGAGTTGATTTACCGAGAGATTAAAAACTCAGAGTTTTCAGTTCCAGAATAGCTGATCTGAGTTGGGTCAATCAACTTTGAGTAGACCAACTCAGAGTTAAGCACGCACACCGTGACTATAAAAAGGCATTATCAATGGAGCGCAGATATTACGAGTGACTATGGCAACATCTTAAAAAAAGAGATCAGCATATCTGTCTCCAGCTGAACTTGATGTGATCATGCAAAGTTATAGCAAATATGAGCGTATATATTTAAAAAGAAGCAACCATCAGTGAAACAGAGACAGCGTGGGAAAACAGCTGCTCAAGTTAATGCCTAATTTTTAATTTTAAGTATTTAAACATTTTAAGTATAATAAAATAAGTAATGTAAAGTGTGACGTTTATACTTTTTTTTTCTAAACTTTTATACACTTTTATCAGTTTTAATAGATTTAACAGTGCACTTGTTGTGTCTGCCTTTTTATTGATCAAGTGATAGAGGTTGATATAACATTAAGAAGGTAAGCAGTAATAAAATAATTTAGACAGAATAATAATCCCATTAATCTAGAAACAGTGCATGTCGAAGGTTAATTATTTATGAAAAAAAGGACAAGCCTCGTACGTGACTTTGTTCTGTGTGTGACAAAAATGTAGGCAATAGCTGTTTCCATCAAAATATAGGCTATTACATAAATTTGTGCAAAACTGGAATAACACATATTAGGTGTCATTGGAAAGACTAAGCTAAAAGGGGAAGTTTCATGCTCAAAAATTTAAAAGGTTTTAAGTTTCTGACACTATATTGGTGTTCTTCTTCCCCTCACCGTCAGATGCATTTTCTCAAAACTGACCTTCCCAAACTAAAACATTAACCAGGGTATATTCACCTTTTTCTAAAATGCGGAAGTGCGCCTGTTTTCGCGATTGTTTTAGAATTTCCGATACAGTCGCCTATGGGAGAAATGACTAAGAATAATAAACGGCAGAAAACAATCAAACTACTTACTCTACAAACAAATGTTTGCATGACTATACAGACCAAGTAGAATAATTTAATAAGAAAATATCAGTTTGCAACATCAAAAAGTGAAACGAGCAGTTTTTAATGTCTAAAAATGAATGGAAGTGAATGAGACCGAAAGTCTCGAGCCAAAAAGATTCAAATGGCTGCGCCCGATCGTCGGTGGAGAATAAGGTGAATAGAGGAATCAGAGATTGAATTACAATACTTTTTAAGACACTTTGCATACATTTTAAGACCCCATCACCTTTTCAGGTTTCAACCAGTAACATTTCAGACATTTTAACTTGCAGTATATTTACTAAATACTGATGCAAGAAACGAATCCTTAACTAAAACTGTATTTAAATACTGAAGAAAAATGCTAATCCAGCAGGTGGTGCCTATAGAATAGCAGGAATAACGGTGTTTTCCTGGTTTCTGCAGTAAAGAAGGCAGCGTGGAGTCAAATCTAGCAGGATTTGTTTGATTTCATAATCTACACAGCATCCCAATATTAAATTCAGGTCAACTTTAGCATGCTGATACCAAATATAACGCCTTGTAAAATAGCATTTAAGACGTTTTAATACTTTTTTTCTATAAAATGATTGATCAATTTTTAATACTTCTAAGTCCCTGCGGACTCCCCAGTAATAGTTGCTGAATGATTTGTTCTAAATTCACAGTTCATGTATCTTTGGAAAGAAGACACTTTGAGCTTTATTATCAATCAGAGTTTATAATGCTCAAAATGAAAAAAAAGTTAAGACGTTAAGAAAGTTAAAAAAACAAAGTTAAGAAAGTTAAAAGCTACACATGTCCCGAGTATATGTTCTGAATTTGATACCTATATCATGCAAAATTAAATTTCTGGAATTATTTTTCGGAGACAATGCACTAAAAACAAAAGATTCAAAGATGAGTCCTTGGATTTACTCAATTTTTTTACGTTAAGTGGCTGTAAACAATTTTTTTGGGCTGAATTTAAACAAACAAATTGAAAAACAGAGCATTATTCAACCTAATTTGTTTAAATTCAACACGAATAGATTGTTTGCAGCAGTTCTGCATGCAACACTTTTTTCAGTGTGTTTCTCCCGCTTCTTATTTGTGGAGAAGCTGTCTGAAAACATATACAGGCGGACTAATAATTCTGACTTCAACTGCATACACCTGTGCAACTTAAGACATGAGCTATCCCGCATTTACACCTTCACTCATGCAAACAGACCAAAGAGCCCAGAGCTGCCATCTCAGATGTATTTAATAAATTAAAACAAGGTACAAAAAAGAAAAAGAGAACAAAAAAAGCCTAATGTACAAGTGACTCCTCGGTCTCCGTCTCTCTCTTAGTCCTCACTCAGTGACTCACTAGTAAATGAACAGCACAGGACGGCCCTTGTCCACTAATTAGGACACATTCTGGGCCCCGACGCAACGCAACACACATGCTACATGTCGGCAAACAGCGGCTGGGTGGAAAAACAGACACACAGAAAGAGTGAGAGAGAGAGAAAAACATGTGCTATTTAGTTCCTCAGTGCACTCCGGTATAATGTGTGTGTGTGTGTGTGTGTGTGTGTGTGTGTGTACAAAAAAACTAATTTAAACTACTTATGTCAAATGAGCTAAAACAACACAATTCTTGAGCTCTTCTTGGGAAAACTTAATTGCTTTATGTTCAATCAACTTAAATTTGTTAAGATAACTTAATTGATTTGTGTTGAAACAACCCGAACGGATTTTATGGTTGGAGTTGATGAGTGCACTATAAAAACGCTGGCTTACACACGATCAGGTTTGTGTTGGAGCAACATGAAGGAATGAAGTTAACTTAGTTTTTACAAATTGAAGTAGATTGAACATAAAACAATTAAGTTGTGTCAAAAAGACTTGTTGTTTCTGTTCATCTGGAGTAAGTAGTTTGAACAATAATATTTTGAGTGTGTGTTTGTGTGCATACCAGATGAATTTGAATAAGCAGGTCACTCCTAAACCATTATTCTGTCAACATGTATGCACTCGAATAACATGCTGGGTTGTTTTAACTCAACTTTGGATTAAACATGGGTACTTTAAACTGAATTGAAAAATCAATGTTGGGTTTGACCTTATTTGACCAAACGACCCAGTGTTTTGGATTTGCATGATCAGGTGTAAATAAATAAGGGCTTATTATTTTGTGTTTGTGTGTAAATTTAATCTTGGTAGATATCAATTCAGAAACGTTGCAATTTAAAATATTCTTCTGGCAAGTTTTTTTCTCTCACAATTTCTGTATCCTAGTGTTTCCTCACAATTTTAGTTTCATTGTTTTTCCTCCAACTTCAGTTTCCAAGTTTCCCACAATTTCAGTATCCAAGTTTTTATCACAATTTCAGTATCCTAGTTTTTCACAATTTCATTGTCCTAGTTTTTCTCAAAATTTCAGTATCGAAGTTTCTCACGATGTCATTGTCCTAGTTTCTCCCACAATTTTAGTTTCATTGTTTTTCCTTCAATTTCCGTATTCTAGATTTTCTCACAATTTCATTGTCCTAGTTTTTCTTAGTTTTGATTTTCATTCTGTCCCCCAGAATTATGAGTTTGTATCTTTTAATTTTAAATGAAGAAAAAGTTTAATAAAAAAGGTTATAATTTTGAAGGAAAGTTAGAATTGCAAGGACAAGTACACAGAATAATCAAGAGTTCATATCTTGCAATTCTGGCTTCATTTCACAATTCTGGATTTTTTTTACAAGTAAATATCTAGCATGTTTGGATTTGCATCTATATATCTATAATGATGGATTGTTGTAACCCAACGCTAGGTTAAATATGGACAAAAAAAATAATACTTCAAATTGAATCAAAAAACTTATCCCAATGTTGGGTTTGTCTTCATTTGACCCAACATTGCATTAAAATGACCCAGTATTTTTTGAGTGTAACTGAAGTAATCATAGAATTTAAAATTGCACGATAGGTTGTAAATAAACAAGGGATTATTATTTTTGTGTGCGTGTGTGTGTACATTTCATTTTGGTATTTGTAAATTCAGAAAAGTGTTTTTCTTACACTTTTCATTTTTTCTTTTTTGATTTTTGAACATTCTGTCATCATTTATGCACAAAAAAAAGTGCTGAGTTGTTTAAGCTGTTGGGTCAAATACGGACAAAAACCCAACAGCTAGGTTAATAAGGGTACTTTAAACTAATAACTAGCTTAACTAGTTTACCAAAAACTTATCCCAAATTTGAAATTATTCTTATTTGACCCAATATTGGGTTAAAATGACCCAGTGTTTGTAGTATTTAGTGTAACTAAAGAAGAATCAATCGTTTATGACTGAAGATGAAATCATAGTATTGCAATTGCAAAAAAAAAAAAAACCTCAAAAGTCAGAAATTTAAAAGCTGAATGTTTGTTTTCGCAATTATGATTTTACTTAGAATTACAAATCTAAACCATCAGGAAATTATGAAAATCAAGTCAGAAATGCATATTATGAAGAATAATTGTGAGACCATAAAGTTGTGATTGGTGAAAAAGTCACAATTCTGATTAAAAAAGTGAAATATTTGAAATATAAACTCAGAATTGTGAGAAATTAAGTATCCTTCGTTTATATTTAGCAATCCCGACTTGTTTTCTGCAACTATGAAGAGAATTTGCAACTCCTCAAAATAGTGAGAAAAAAGTTTGACTTACATTTTTTTTATGAGATGCATCTCTCTCTCTCATTCTGTGTGTGTCGCCCAGCCTTTACTAGTCCCCCAAATACACTGCTGACCTAATTTATGTATATATATGTATATCAAAAACAATCATAATAATCCTTTGATTAAAAAAAGTCCACAACATTTTGTCAGAATGGAGCGTGAGGAGTTAGACGGACAGATATAGAGAATAGATATAAAGCCACAGAGGAAAAAAACAAACAAAAATTCAGTCTGTATTGGTCCCTCTCTCTGTTAGCAGCACACATACTCCACACCCCACGCTTCACTACATTATTATGTGCATTTATTTATAGATATATATATATACTTTAATATATATATTTGTGTATATATGTCCAAAATCAAAAATAAAAACATTGATCTAATGCTATTTCTTCGTTCAAATGGATGCAAATGATCACAGGGCGGAAAATAAAACAGCCCGAGAGCCACGGAAGATCGAACGCGGGATAATCGGAGAACGGTTTCCAGCGAACATGCCGTAATTGTGGGAAACGTCGACTGTTCGGGCCCGAAATCCCAATGCGAGAGAGGCTGAAAGAGACAGAGAGAGCTGGAGGAAGAGCGCGAGGCCTGGCGCTTCAGTTTCCGACACAGTATTGATTTTTTTCCCGGGGCTTCTGGGAATTGTAGTTTTTTTAGAGGGGGTTTTAGTAATCCGCTGCATATTCAGTCCCGTGAAGTCCTCGGCACACCAGTGTGAACTCCTTCACAATGTCTTTGACTCGCCGCTTGTTCACTCGCTCCCTGAGAAAAAAGGAGAAAACATAGTCTTTATTAGTGGTGTATCAGATCACATTATAGTTATAGTCACAGATTGGATCATTTTCCGAATCAGCCAAAAAAGGGGAAGAGAAAAATGTAATTTTGTTTTACATTTATTACAAAAATAGTACTGCAAGACACTTTTGGTTTAAACAAACAGAACTTAAAAGCTTGATTTTATTAAAAACTAAATGAATAAATAATCAGCTGAAAAAAATAAATAGTAATAATTTCAGTTCTGTAAAAGATTCAATGTTACTGCTACTGTTGCTGATAACATTAATAGTCCGTTTACACTGAGTGGTACGGTACGGTTGGGTATGACTTTATTGAAGTTTCTACTCTCAAAATTAGGGGTGTCAAAATTAATTGTTTCTTTGGTGCACCGCGATGCAGATGCGGACAATTCAGTATCGGTTTAGTAATAATCATAACCGGTTATTATGTACTGACGTCATTTATCTCCTGTGCTCTCTGTCGCGAGGGAGGTGAGCGCCGGTATTTACAACACTCAGCCAACTCAGGGCCGGCCCGTGGCATAGGCAACATAGGCAAATGCTAAGGGCGCTGTATATCCAGGGGGGCGCCAGAAATAAGCGCGCTTCAGTTGGTTTTGTTTTTGATATTCTTGACACACATTCAGTTACAGACAGCAATAACTCAAAAACCTCTTACCCTAAAAAGATCTAAAGTGTGTTTCCTACAAAAAGACAAAGCTGGTAATGTTTCACAGCTGTCTTTCTTTTTTTCGCTCGACATTACGAGCACTGCTCCGTTTAAGCCCTCGCAATATGTGTTTGTTTGTTTCACGCTGAGAGGAGCTCTCTGCAAGGGACCGTCGGAAAAGTGCTTCTTTTTTTAGTTTTTTTTTTTGTTTTTCTGCTCCGCTCTTCGCGATCTCTCCCTGTTGCGAGGGCTTAAGTGTGTGTGTGTGTGTGTGTGTGTGTGTGTGTGTGTGTTTGTTTGTTTGGTGCTGTCTATGTTTGTGTTTGAATGAGAGACAGTGTGTTGCTGTGTGTCTGTGTGTTTACAGACAGCTTGTTATAGCCTCTCCTCTAAAATATAACACTGTATATGGAAAGCATCGTCAATGCACCGTGATGCACCGAAATATCAAATTGAACCGAATCGAAGACATGATAATCGTAACTGAACCGAACCGTAAGACCAGTATAGGTTCACACCTCTACTCAAAAGGTACCTAAAAGCGAACCGTATCACTTTTTGAGTAGCCTTTCGGAAGGGTACCTAGCACAACAAAAGGGTACCAAAAGACAGAGCTAGACGCGCAACTGAACACTATTGGTTTACAGAGATACGTCACTAGCAGCAAGCAGGAGAATGAAAACAAAGAAACCGCCACGTTTAAAAACACAGCCAAGACATTACACTGTAATAATATATACATATAATAACAAGCCATGGCCGATCCGAGCTCAAACAAACCTCGTCGTCATCGTCTTGATGAACAGCCACAAAGCCAACAAGAAGATCAAAATCTGCCCTGTACCCCGTAGTTGTTTACAAGGCTGTCTAAAGCGCGAGTGGTTTCACTTTCTTGCTTGGGCTCGCCACGCGTCTATTTTTGAAATAACAAACTTCTTGAGCTCATGATAATAATGTGCGCTTGATTATTGACGTGCTTCTGACATCCGATCCTGTCAGAAATGGACAAATGCGAGAGTGAAGCGCGAAGCCGAAAAGGAGAAGCAAAAAAAAAGGAGCAAATGATTCTTTCAGCAACCTAAAACATGAACAAACTGCATTGTTTAACTATTATCATCACCTTTTATACTATTATGAACTCAGAATGACAGAATGACCCTCTAACAGAGGCTACATGTGCCGGCGAAGATTACAGACACAGATGAGAGCTTTACACTGACTGTCGGCTATATTTCGTGTTGTTTTTTAACCTAAATAAGGACGAAATGTCTGCTGTGTCTAGTTCTTCTGTAAATGGTAACATATCAGAAACTGTAAGGGTCTGTATGTGTTAATAAATGTTGCATTTATTTATTTATTTTATATAATTGCAGATGTTAGAGTAGGCTATTTTGCACTATTAATCTGCAGTTATAATCAAATCGTGTTCATTGAAAAGTTAGTAATATATGTTTATTCAGAAGTATTTATGTGTATAAAGCATCTGTTTTGTGAGAAGTGCTTCTAATATACGTGAACAACCCATAAAGCTTTACTGTAGACATTTCCTCAAGCGAGAATTATGTCGAATGAAACCTTCTGTCATACACCATGCGCACCTTTGGTACCCTCTTGGCAGTGGAAACGCAAGCCTGAAAAAGGTGACCCGTACCAAATTCTATTGTCCTGTACCACTCAGTGGAAACAGGTCATAAATGTAGAAATCTAACATTGTAATTTGTACAACCCATATATATTTTCTCATTCTCATTTCCAATAGATGATTCAGTTCTTCACTCATAAAACTTCATGTTTCATTGCTAGATGATCATTTTTGGAGAATTATTCAGTGGCATATTTTCGATGGCTGGTTGTCGCCACCTATTGGTTAAACAATGCAATTGCTGCCTACAACTTTCATTTTTGAGCGTCAAGTTAAATGCATATGATGGCGATTATAATCTTTACCATAAACATCAGTGGTTATATCGAAACTATAAACTGTTCTCCCAGAATTTCATAATTAACTCAAAAGATTAAAAACTGAATCTCTTTGAGTTTTGCATTTTCAGATTTGAATGCAGCAATTTGAAGAATTAATAAACATATGCAAATCACCATCCTTTATAATTCATGTTGCGTGGGTGTTGAGATCCCGATCTTTTAATGGTTAATCGTGCAGCTTACACTGAATGCATTAATGCAGGCTAAACATGTAGTGTAAACATGTAACACCTTTAATAACCTGAGAAACCCACGACATCCTAAATAACCCACCACAACATCTTCTGTCATTATCATATTTCACAGGAAAGCCCAAAAGCTTTCATACATGTGATTTGAATGACACAAGAGACTATCTCTCTGCGATCGTTACAAATTTTGGATTAATCTACAAGTAAAAAAAAGTAATAATTGGCGGGTCACGAGTGTTCCAAACCGTGGGGTGTGATCCGTACGAATAAATAAACACTTTGATTGACATTCATAATTAACTGAGCCGAAAACCAAATAATCAAAGTATGGCGTGAATTTATCGAGAACATTTCTTATATAATAACCAAATAAACTAAAGTGTACTGAAAGATAAAAAGTATTATATTAGAGGTGTATAAAGATCACTTCTCATCGCTGAGTTTTTTCTTCTCCTGTTTATTGTTGTTTATTGAACTCCTTATGTATTTTCCTTTAACGCAAATGCTGGCTTGTATATAGTTGGTGCTAGGTATGTATGCTCGCTTTGTTCTGTAATAAATAAATAAATCACAAAAAACAAAAGATTAATTGTGTGAAAAAGTAAACATGGACTCTTCTCACCTGAGCACCTGTTGGCTGAAGGTGTTTTTCTGCTCGTCCGACACGCGCGAGGACGGAAAGCCTGGCGAACGCAGAGCCTCTTTGAGCCACACCGTCAGCAGAGTAAAGCAGTGCTTATTCAGACAGAAGAGCACCTCTGCAAACTGATCCATCAGACTGCGGGATGACTGACCGCCGATGGCCTGCCCAACAAACACATCAGGTTTTTTTAAAAACATAATATAATATAATAATAATAAAAATCATAATACAAATTTTGGCCGACACAGTGTATAGTGTATACAAGCCGGTGGGTAGCACGATCGCCTCACAGGCTAATAAAATAACCACAGCACAGCAACAAACCTTGGGTCTTTGGGTAGTGCATTGAAATGAACGGGTTTCATAGCGCAGAGCTTTCCATGTTCAGTGTGAAAGCAGTTTCACTCCGTGCAATGGTGAAATCAGTGCGCTGAACATTGCTGGGCTGAAAATTTAATTCAGAAACCAGTAATCTGGATGAATTTGGTTGAAAACCAAAATCGAAAATGCTTTGTAATAATTAGTTTTTATTTTACTAAGTAATATAATTTTGTAAGATTTTCAATTTAACCTAATAACTTTGATTATACTGCTTACTATATAGAAATGTCTTGTCAGTGCAATTATTAGGCTGGCTTGTGTGAAATCCTATTTTTCTTCTGAGACTAAAAAACAAAACGCATCTCCTCCTAGAGCTTTCGAGCTATGACCTCCAAACTCACACCAGACCTCCAAACTGGTCTGACTCGGGTTGCTATATCTTTTCAGACTGATCCGACTTTCGGTTTTCCAAAAAACGTCCCGGGACCGTCGGAAAAATCCCATAGAATTAACATTGCACCAAACTGTGTGACCTCATAACTCTGCATAACTCTCTCTAACGCCCTAACAACCGCTTTCGAACCCTAGAAACTGTGCCATAGACTTCTATTCAAAAGATTCTCATTGACTTACATTGAATCAAACTTTGTGAGCTCATAAATCTGCATCAGACGGTCCTGCAGACTAATGGCTGAGCTCATTTAACTCAGTCTAGCCACTCTTTTAACTTTCTAGCCACAATCTAACCACTTTCTAGCTTAACAACCAGATACTGCACCCTAGCAAATGTCCCATAGACTGCCATTATAGAGGCCCAGATTGATATCGTCATGCTGCAGTGTTACAGAGACATGGGGGCTGTTTTTAACTGTTCATACTGGCAAAAAGAGTTGATATATCATCAGTCTAAGCTTTCAATCAACTCCATAGCAACAAAACAGACTAACCTACAACGATATAACAGCAGCTATATCTCAGCATCAGAACATTGTAGAGAAGCAGGGGTTGGCTTGTTTGACTCACGCTCGCACACCATAAATCCTGTATGGTTAGCAATGACAAGCAACATGTTAATAATGATTAGCTAAGTACTTTAACATGCTAGTAATGCTATCTATCTATCTATCTATCTATCTATCTATCTATCTATCTATCTATCTATCTATCTATATATCTATCTATCTATCTATCTATCTATCTATCTATCTATCTATCTATCTATCTATCTATCTATCTATCTATCTATCTATCTATCTATCTATCTATCTATCTATCTATCTATTCATAATTTTAAAAACTGTTTAAACTAAATAAACTATTACCAACAGGCTTTCTCAAGCCAGCCTCAAAGTTTTTCTCAACGAACTTTAACAATCTAGTTGACTTTGTTTTTCCAGTGAGCACATGTGGTTTATGCATAGATAAGTATATGTATAAATGAACATATGTATATGTATTCCAGCCTTTGCATGGTGCTTTAAAATGAATGAGTTTCAAATCGCATCGCTTTCCACAATCAGCGAGAAAGCTATTTCAGTCAGTGCAATGAGTATGGCTGGAGGAAGAGTGAAACCGGGGCATGTTCGTATCAGTATGTTAGTTTTAAAGATATCTATAAGCTAGTGTGCTCCAAAACAGTGACAACATCTGTGTTTAGAAGATAAAAACCCTGATATAAACATCTAAAGCATGCAGTTGGTCACTTCCGCCTAAAAAGATCAACAATACCATTACCTCATACTTCAGTTTCTCATTGAATCTTCTGACCAATCAAATGCTTTATAGTGTCTGAAATGCCCAACCCTGTTCAAGATGCTTCTCATTTGCTTTTAATTTGATGCTCTTGAGCTCAACCACTCTCACTGGCAGAGCTGTGATAAAAACAAGACGCTATTGGCTGTTTTTAAAAAGAGGAGGAGCTACTCTATGCCATACCCTCTTTTCGTATTTCAGTTGAGATTACAGCAAAAATCGAACAAAAATGCACATTAAACACTTCACGGGACCTTTAACGATTTGTCAGCTTTATTTTTTGGCCATTTTTCTCACCCGGCTAAGAAACCAAACATGTTGGCTGATCATTTTTGTTCGAACAGATACATTATTAATCGTTTCCTGTGCTAGACTTCAGCTGAATTTGTGCACTCACCTCCAGCACAGCTACTAGCAGGAGCTTTCCATCCTCCTGCACCACCCGAGCCAGAGGAGGAATGTCTGCGCAGTGCGGGATCAGCTCGGACTGAGGTGAAGGACAACATGAAGAAACACCACACAGCATTTATCAAGAGATTTACAGGATGGAAACAGAGAAACAAACTGAACTCCACTCACTA